TCTATTTAAAGCTAAAACGTTCGCTGTGGTGATATGGAATATATTTTTGTAGTGTGTTTAATAGCATGCTATTGACCAGTTCGTGTGTCTTTAGCTTTCTATGATAAAAGTTTGGTGCAAGACGTTGCCACATTTTGCCTCATCTTGGTCACAATAAAAGTTAGTAAAGGTCAAAATTTAGTGCCGAGCAAAGAGTAGAGAATGAACATTTAATTGGTCAGAATAACAGCATCTACTGTTCCATAAGTTTTGCTAGAATTAGAATTTCAGTACCAAAACTTTAGTCCAGTATAATCAGAAAGTGGCTATTGAACTATTCTTTGAAACCAACAGACTTGCATCCATATACAAAGACATGTTCGTTTGTTCGTGGGGTTTTACGTCCGCCTTCACTTTGGGTCATATCGCAGACAAACAAAAACATGCATGACAAGTATACTTCTATAGCATCTAGAATATATCTGACCAATGTAGTATAAACTGAAATGAGATCGGTAATTTCGCCAAAGTATCTTTTGGATGAATGTACAATTCATGATACTGGCGGTATCTGAGTATTTTCCAGAAATAGGTTAGTTTTGCCTGAGAATTTGTTCTTGCTTCGTTGGTCAAGCCTCGAACAATCTGCACGTGTTATATATTCATTATACAATCTGCATGATTTTATTAAGTGTTTAATCCCCATAAATATGATTTAAAAAACAAACAAGCGTTAAGTTCCTTCCTGCCTTTATATTAAATATCTATATCATAAGATGTTGAACTAACTTAGTTATATAGTGAGAGATGTACTGTCAACATGGCTACTAATTTACTAGTATATTTACTTATTTATTCCTATGTATACGATGTCAATAATGGTAAGTTTAACATCATTATTAATTTTAAGGAGGCTTCAATACAAATAATAATATAGCCCATACAGGACATAGTTTGTTTTCTGATTGGTCGAAGCGTGGTGTAGAATTTTCTATGAAAAACTAATCATTATGTATTATTAATACATTACTTTTGTTGTCTGGCAGGGCACGACGTCTAGCTGTTCGGATGGACCGAAAACCGAAATACTATGTACTTGTTGACGTGCACATAACAGTACCCTTGATAATTGTTATTCGAAATGAGATGGGCACTGTCCAAGCAGAATTTCGCTCATGGCGCACTGCATGGTGTATATTTTTCTTCGCTATTCCGTTTGGTGAAGAAAATAATTTAATTTCAATACTTTGTTGTTTTTCACTTTGTAACATTAAATGCTCTCAAACATTAAAGATTTAAGCGTTATGACACTGGGCTATATTGAGCCAAACATAAGTTAAAATATTTATATGCATTAATAAAAACAAATATCACAGTTTTTGTCTAAATAAAAAAATATAAAAATGAAAAGGATTCATTATATATATATACAATTAACATTTATAATGAAAACCTATAACTTTTAAAAAAGTTTAAGTTTTTACCAAATAAACCCGGTTGAGCAAATGAATGATGTAACGACTAGTAACGGTAATGATTAAATCTAACACATCCTTGAGATTCTTGCACCAAAACAAAATGTGCTTTTAAGATGTCAAAGAACCATGTCAGGCGAGGGTGTCGCTTGAAGATGAAAAGGAGTTTTTAAAAAAAAAAAAAAAAAAAAAGTATGACCAACACGAGCGCGACACAAACAACGTCATCGGTCCTGCTGGTTTTGTAGGAGACCTGCCAATCTCCAGGACGAGGCTTTTAATGTAATGGAAGACACTAAAATGAAATGATTAATGACTTAAAAGGACATCATGGAAGATTAAATAAAGAGCTGGCAGTTCTCATTATAATAGATAAAAACTAGATAATGTATATAAAGGGAATAAGCTGAAAATTTCAGATAAATTGCTACACTCTGAACCGAATATTAAATAAAGAGCTGGCAGTTCTCATTATAATAGATAAAAACTAGATAATGTATATAAAGGGAATGAGTTGAAAATTTCAGATAAATTGCTACACTCTGAACCGAATATTAGCGTTTGAATTTTAGGCTTAGATAAAGAGCTGACAGTTCTCGTTATAATAGTTAAAGACTGGATAATGTAAAGGGAATAAGCTGAAAAGTTCAGTTAAATTGCTCCACGCTGAACCGAGATATTTGCGTTTGATTTTCAGGCCTAGCTTCGATTATCATTACTAAAGTCGGTACGATAAACAAAACATAGTTCCGATTATCCATTTTTGGATTAAATCATCAATGAAGGTTGAGCAGAAAATGGCATCGACGGTTGATTAAGCTCTTTTCATATTGATAAATATCTAATTAATAGTTTATTTAAAATTTCAGGCCCAAAGAAAGATCTGCAATAGGAAGATTTAGCTTTTGCATAATGCATGTTTAAAATATGTAAAAGGATTAAAATTGTAATAGTCGACCCCCTGAACAGCATCCCCTGATTATAGTCTCTCCAAGTGTCTATTAATATTGTTCGATGTCATGTTTACTGTTAACTAAAATAACTCGGTCAACATTCTTTTGATCCTCGGTTTGTTTTATTTTTTCAATTGATATCATATATATTATAGTATATCAAATATAATTACGTCACATAAGAATTAATATGATATAAAGCTTTCATCGTATGTATGGGCTAAAAGTCATTTTTTAAAAAATAAGTTCAGAATGATTATTTCGGAAAGCTGTCGATGTACCCAAAATGGTTTAATGAAGCTAAAGCTTTATTCAGAGTATTGATTTGGGTTACCATATAGACGTAAAAGTTTAATCGAAGACAGATAGACAGAAAGATTAAGTTTCGAACAATTTTAACGTGTATTATCTATAATAGTACGTAAAATGCAAGCTATTAACATTTTCCACAGTTAACTGCTTATATAGACAACCTGCCAATGTCCATAGTTCTAACAGACTTGAATTCAGATTCATGAGCTATTTGCTCAACACAAACAGATTAAAAATAACTTGTTTCAACAGCTTGGCAAACTTTTATTTAAAGGGCCAATCCCGATAATATTTTCGAGAATAAAACTGCTTAATTTTGTGTTAAAATCCCTTACAATCCTTTACCTTAAGGCCGAGCAACTAACTTAATATATGGGATACGTTTTCAAACAACTTAAGCCTGTCTGTCTTCATCTGGAAATGGAGACCGGTGCCCCAAGCTGTATTATGCGGTGTCTGGGTAAAACCAGACTTTTATTTTACAAAAATAACGTGGAGGTGAAATTTACCTTTCGTTATCAAGTACAGCTCATATGTCATTCACTGTATTGACCTCTAAAGGAACGGGAATAGTTACCAGGATACCCAACGAAGAAACTGACCCGAAAACTTAAAAGGGTTACGTGTCCGGATAAGCATTTTTTGCGTTCACGTCGAAACGACTCAATATTTTGAGCTGAAATTTTGAGACAAGGTAAATACAGCACTCCTCTATATTTTGGCACGTAAATTTCATACATACTCGGACTTTTATTTTCGAGACTATTGGTTATTGACATTGTTATTAGTTCCATTTATTATTTATTCTATGGGATATTTATATTTGTGGTTACCTCTCAAGGTTTATTACTCCATTGTTTGTGTTTCAGCTAAATGTACATCGCGTAACTGTGGTGGGAGACCATGTGATCCTGATACTGGACTCTGTGAACCATGTCCAGATGGCCATTACAACGACAGGGGAATCTGTAAACCATGCCCAGATGACCTTTATATTAATTATATGGGAATCTGTAAACCATGTAATATAAATTGCAAGGAGAGTAAGTGCAATATAAATGGTACATGTAAATATGGGTGTATTCCTGGATTGTATGGTACGTATTGTCAGAAGTTGTGTAGTTCAAACTGTAAAACCAACCTGTGTGATGATAAGGGTATATGTGATCATTGTAAAGATGGCTTCTATGGTGATATATGTGAACGTATCTGTCCTAATTGTAAGCCCGGTGGTTGTAAAAGGGAAGATGGTGTATGCATAAAAGGTTGTAAAGATGGATTCTATGGACGCGATGGAACGTGTATGCATAGATGTGAGAATTGTAACCCTGGTGGATGTCAAATGAATAATGGATCTTGCTTTAATGGCTGTAATGATGGTATTGTTGATGCAAGATGTGGGAATAATTGCTCTACATGTGACGATGGCGGTTGTAAACATGATGGCTTTTGTATTAATGGATGTAAAGAAGGTTTTTATGGTAGTGACGGATTGTGCTTGAGGGTATGTCCTAACTGTCAACCAGGTGGGTGTAGTAAGGATGATGGTGTTTGTAATGTTGGATGTAATGACGGTTGGTATACAGATACATGTGATAGTATGTGCAGTAGTTATTGCAAGAGCGGGTGTAATAAAACAGATGGATACTGTAATGCATGTTCTTTAGAAAAATATTATGGAACGTTCTGTAATATCGCTTGTAGTTCTACATGTAGAGGAGGGTGTGATAGAGATGGCATATGTTATAATTGTACTGAGAGACATTATGGTGATAATTGTCAATCGGACTGTAGTTCTACATGTAGAGGAGGATGTGATAGAGATGATGGCATATGTTATGATTGTACTGAGGGATATTATGGTGACGTCTGTAATACCACATGTAGCGCCACATGTTCAGAAGGTTGTAGGTCATCGGACGGTTTTTGTGGCGATTGTAAGAATATGTACCATAACGTATGTAATTTTACATGCAATGTGAATTGTAAAGAAGGTTGTTATAGAGATGCCAAATGTATGGACTGCTTTAAAGGTTTCTATGGTGATAGGTGTGGCAAAAGGTGTAGTAATTGTAGAAATTATAGTTGCGACATGACCAGTGGCTGCATTGAAGGATGTACAGCAGGTAAAACCGGACAGTATTGTGATAAGAGTTGTTTTTCGAGTTGCATTTCTTGTAAACGCTACAATAAATCAAGCTGTGTGTCTTGTAAACGAGGATGGTTTGGATCAGTTTGTAATAAGACGTGTCCAACAAGATGCTTGTATAGTTTTTGTAATATGGATGGTACCTGCGGTGCCTGTAAAGCAGGATATTATGGAAAGAGTTGTGACAAGATGTGTAGCAGCAACTGTAGATCTACCATAGGTTCACCTGTATGTAATTACACCCATGGTTCATGTACTGATGGCTGTGTACATGGTAAAAAAGGAAACCACTGTTCTGAAGGTAAAACAAAACAACGCGTAAGACTAATAGTTAAATGGAATAGGCAGTAAATTTTTAAAAAAACTAGCTATAGTTAGATATTTAAAGGAACAATGGTGACACAAAGAACACCAACTATTACTATTAAACAGTACACAAATAAAACTAATACAGGATTTTTTAAAACTTTACAATAGTCAAAATACTGTTAAGTCAGACTTTCTTCAGTGCTCAGCCCACCCGGTTTAAACTACTTTCTTGTATATGTTTTACCTGATAGGTTGTTTTAAATGTAACATTTGTTATTGTAGCGTGTTTAGATGGATCATATGGTTAGTTTAACTGTATCGTTGTTATTGTAGATTGTCCTGAAGGGTGGTATGGTTTAAACTGTTCCAACAAGTGTGGTTATTGTAAAGGGGGGAAAGGGTGTAATGTATCATCAGGAGAATGCGGCTTACAGGGCTGTCAGGAACAATATACAGGGCCTAATTGTCGAGAGGGTAAGTAGTTTTAATTAATTAACTGTGTTGTATTGTCAAATAAAATTCCTTGATTGGTACAGGTTGACATTTGCACTGCATAATTCACTAATTTGCACTGCATAATTAGGTAGGTACGACTTTAAAATAACTGTATGTTTATAACTATAATGATGACATCTCGTCTATAAGAACTAAATCTTATTTCAGTAAAATCTACTACAGCCAATACAACCCTAATTGTTGCAGTTGTGTTTACTGTCATAATACTAATGATGATGATGATGTTTGGTCTTTATATTTGGAGGTAAATATTGTCAATCATCTTTTTATGTTCAATTATTATCTAGATGTACTTTTCACAATGTCTTGGTCAACATAACCGGAAGTGATGAAACCAAATGAAAACTCCGTTAGGTCCAACGCCTATCATCGGGGTGACTCATATAAAACGGATATTTAACACAAATACACATATTGCGGAAATCTGCACAATAAAACACATACAGTACAAATAGCACTGAAAATACATATATGCAGGTACATAAATATTCCTCAGAAACCAAGGGTGTAAGATGTTGCCTGGTCATAAGATGTCAAAGTAGGATCAAATTATACAAAAAAATAATGTACATTATTACATAATACTGTGTTTATTTTAGGAACAGAAATCCTGGATTGGTTTCATCTCTTCCAGAATCCCTGCCTTTATCCAATATACATGTAAATGGTACAGCCCGATTACAGATCGGACAAGTACCGGCAAACAGTTAGTATATATCTATCAGTCTCTAGTGTTTTTGACATAAAGTAGCGAATAAATATGTTCAGATTAATTTCGGTCAGATTTATTATGTTTATGATATTTTTTTAGAAACCACGATCCTTCTGAGTAGGGAAGATGTCAGAATTAATAACGGTCAGGCTTCACAACCAACCACAACCAGAATTCTTTTGGAGGATTTATGGAAATATACCCATGATAAGAAAACAGGAGGATTATTCATGAAAGAATATCGGGTATGCCTCTATAAATTTACATCTAATGGTATATATCAACGGTTATATCAACAATGAATCTTTCATATTATTATGTTGTTATTGAATAGGATTTAACAAGATTCAGTTACAAAAATATTCATTTTATCGATCTATCTACTTATTGCATGATTTATAATTATATTTATTAAGCCTATTAACATGTGTGTAATTCATATAGTATTGTATTTTGATTGGTGACTACAACGAAGGTCTATACACTAGTCGTGTATTTACTCCAAGCTCTTTGTTGTATCTTAACTTATATCTTTAATATTATGTTAAAATGGCTATCTACCATCCACTGTATGTATACAATTGTATAGATTATTCATACATCTCTTATGACTTGATACATAACAGAATCAAAGAAATAAAGGTGGTTGACTCATTTAACCGGATGTGTTTGGGTGTATATCTGAATGAAGAAATAAACGTGGTTAATTTATTTAACCGGGTGTGTTTGGTTTTAGATAGATTTAAAGTCTTTATCAACCGTAACATAGAATTAATTGAGCTTTTTCTACTAATAGTACTTCCCATTTGAGAGAAGTTGTGATGGAGGTGACGAATGATCTGGCATCTTCATAAGCGTGGACTTCGACTCCTGCTTAACCGCGTGGTCTTTCAATTGGTTACATGGCAGTGGTTCCCAACCTGTGGTACGGATACCACTAGTGGTACGCGAGGGCCTTGCAGGTCGTACGCAAGCACTTTCGGGGCCATGAACGATTTTTAGTTATTTTTTACTTCCCAAAAATGTTTACTGCCTAACACAAGATAATACCCATTATTTTCGCAGAGTGTATGTTACTATTCGAATTGAGTTTCTCTGGAACCAGGTGGTACGCGGCGACTGTACGGAACCTCCAAGTGGTAGTCTATCACAACAAGGTTGGCAACCACTGTTATATGGGAATTATTATAATACAAATTTGCAAAATGTTGATCCAGTTGTGTATAGTTGGCGTTAACGTCACTACATATTCGTGTTACTGCGAGGAGAATCTGTTTACGTTAACTAATTATTTCTTAAGAAAATTGATTAACTAAATATATTGTATGTATACAATGTTATAAATGTCTGAAATGACTCTGACATTTGATTTTATTTCATGTTATAGAAACTACCCAGTGGTATGTGTGAGTCACATGTAGTCGCTCTGTTGCCACAAAATAAATTAAAGAATAGATATAAAGATGTATGCGCCTGTAAGTTGTGTTATGTATTATGGACAGTACCAACAAATGAAATGAAATGGGGGTTCAATGTCCGATTGGGCTAATAAAGACGGTGAAGGGGGGGGGGGGGGGGTACAACAAAATTTATAAACAGATTTTCAATTTTATGTAGATTCTGGGGCAAGAAGTAACCAGTCTCTTTTTCTTTAAATAAAGCTATCTCTCCATTATGCAAGAGCTAAATCAGTCTATTGCAGGCCTTTCTTTAGGCCTGAAATGTTATCTAAATTATTAATCAGACATTTATTAACCTATCCAGACCATAATCAACTCTAGATGGCATGGCTAGCCTGCGATCTTTAGTGGATTATTAGCCGATATACTGCATAACTTTCCTTCACGATTTAAAGATTGAATGGATAATCGAGACTGTGCTGTTTATCGTACTGACTTTAGTAATGATGATCGAGGCTAGGCGGAAATTTTAATCGCTTAGTTTACGGTTCATAGAGGACCATTTTGAATGAAATTTTCAGCAAATTGCCTTTATAGTGAGAACTGCCAACTCGTTATCGAATCTCCCATAATGTATCTTTAACTATAAAAAGTAACAAATGCTTAAGCTTTAAAATGTCATTATTTTAAATATTACAGTTGACCATACCAGAGTTATTCTGGATATAGAAAATAGCAACTCTGATTCGGATTACATAAACGCCTGCTATATTTCGGTAATGCATTATTATTTATTTATATTTTTTTTTCAAATTAAACATTAGATCTAGCTGGGTCAATTTATTTTCTTTGTGTGTGTTTGCGTGTAGGTTGATCTGTAACAACTTACCGAACACGTATCAAGCCCGCCTATTTAATCATCAGCTAAACACGTTTTATGCCCGACTATTTTAGCTAACTACTGTTTATTGCCCTATACAATTTTATATACATATTTGACAAGCTTTATGGAGGATGAATTAAAAAGTCCGTCTAAAACCATTTGCATAATATTTTCTTTTTTTTTTTTAAGGGCTACAAAACGGTAAAACCGGCTTACATTGCTTCACAGGGTAATATTCTTAATTTATCATTTTCTTTGTGCGATTTAATGAAGTTTTTAGAAAAATAAGTTATTGGCCTTTGTTTATCATTGTAGTGTTTTATGTAACTAAAAGAGTTCTGTTTAATATCAGGTTATCTACCCACCGATATTAATGGGTTCTGTTTAATATCAGATGCTATACCTGCTTATTTTAATGAGTTCTGTTTAATGTCAAGGTCTATACCCGCTAATAATAAAGATGTGTTTAATATCAGGTCATATACCCACTAATATTAAAGAGTTATGTTAAATACCAGGTCATGTACCCACTAATATTAGAGGGGTATGTTTAGCACCAGGTACTATGCATAATATTAAAGAGTCGTGTTTAATATCAGGTCCTACAGCCGCTAATAATAATCAGTTGTGTTTAATATCAGGTCCGAAGCCCACTGACATTAATGAGTTGTTTAATATCGGGTTCTATATCCGCTAATATTAATGAGTTCTGTTTAATATCAGGTCCTACACCAGCTAATATTAATGAGTTCTGGAGAATGATCTGGGTGGTGGAAGCTGATAAAGTTGTTATGTTGACTAACCTGGTTGAACTTGGAACTGTAAGTGTTCACACATTTAATTAAACATACATTATGCAATAACTAAATCTGTCTATCTGTCTTTAGGCCTGAAATATTTACTAAATTATAAATTAGACATTAATTAACCTATCCAGACCATAATCAACTCTAGATGGCATCGCTAGTCTGCGATTTTTAGTGGATTATAAGCCGATTTACTGCATAACTTTCCTTCGCGATTTAACGATTAAATGGATAATCGAGACTATGCTGTTTATCGTACTGACTTTAGTAATGATGATCAAGGCTAGCCGGAAATTTCAACCGCTTAGTTCCCAGTTCATAGTAGTTCAATTTGAATGAAATTTTCAGCAAATTGCCTTAACATTATCTAGTTGTTAACTATTATAGTGAGAACTCGTTATCGAATCTTTATCTCCCATAATGTATCTTTAATAAGCATGGGTAGACAGTTTTAATTTTATTATGTGAGTGTTAAAGTCAAATAATTGTTTCAAGAATATATTTCATAAATTCGCCGGATCGAAACTGAAGTGTATTTGTCAACAGATGTAGTTTTACAAAGCCTTCTTATTGTGATAATATTTTGTTCTCAGCCATTCGTGGGAGCCACGGTGGCTCAGTGAAGGTTCCGAGTTTGATCCCTGTATTGACCGAGACAATTCATCGGGAGTACCCGTCGTGACCCCCCCCCACCCCCGCCCTTGTCAATGGTGTAGGACGGAGGGCCTGGCAAAGGACAACGAAAGAGCGAGACACAGTGTGCCCGTTGGCGTGCACATAAAAGAACCCATGGCAGTTGGAATTCGATATAAATTCGATATCATAGCACACTGAATGGCATATTCCCGTCTTCATTAGCCCCGTCGGAGCAGAACAGTAGCACGTTAAACCCCATTTCTCACCCATTGGTCATTTCACTGCTTTGTAAACATGCTTGAGAGAAATATTAATACATTTTAACTTGTTAAAGACCGGTTATTGCTGGTTTAATTGTATTTGTGCATAAACCCTGTATCTCTTTTGTAAGCCATTAGATTTATCTTTAACCGGATTTGATTAATTGTTATTACATGACTGTATTTTATTATGAGTTCTTCTTTCATCAAGGGATACCCGTTGTAAAATGTGCATATTATCTTGTTGACAGAGTAAATGTTTACAATATTGGCCGCTTGTTGACCAGAAAGTTGAACACGGGGGTATATCAATTATAACCATACAGGAAGATATATTTTCTCATTTTACTATTAGAACACTTCAAATATCGAGGGTAAGTTGTATCCTTATTCATGTTGATTATAGGGCCTACTATAAAGAAGTCAAAAAAAAAAAGTGGTGGGAGATTCATGTCACACTATAAAAACACTTCAAAGAAAGTTCACATCAACACAATATTCTTTCAAATGTTAAGAAATAGAGTTTCACATAATATTTCCTTTCGTGCTACGCTTTGGAGGAGAATTTTGCCAAATACAAAAGTACAACAAAAGACAGACACCTTTCCTCGGATAAGTGGTATCAATGGTGCCACCCGAAAGAACAGACTACACGATATAGTCAGTCTTAACAAGTGAGACCTCCGCGTTTATCAAGATGGTCCTTATTGACCACAGCCGAAAACAAGACATTCAGTGTCATAACCGCTCGACTACCACGGATCACATGAATACATCATTATACATTGTGCGATGATGTCCCAATGAATAATGCAATAATTGAGAATTACATTTTTATGATTTACATTGGCGAGTTATTTTTCCCATGACATCGCAGACCCGGAACTGTACACCACAGTAAAGGTTTGCCTCCACCGCCTCAACTTCGGCCATCTGTGTGCCGGGTCCATACCTTTGATGTGATAGTGATCAAAAATATATGACACTTTATATACATCCCACCGCTTTTATTTTACTTTTCTAGGATTGTGACATTTTGAGGATAGGGTTAAAGTTTGACCTTTAATAAAATAAAAGAATCCACGCCTGGCATTCACTTTCACCAGATACAGCACCTTTGTACGGTGGATGTGTTCCTCTAACATGAAATGATTTTTAAAACCGCATCCTGGCATCTTTTTGAGTTTCGCCTCTATTATTTGTCTTCTGGGTTTCGAGTTACTTCTACTGATTTAGTGTAAAACTAGACCTATGTCCATAGAGATATGTTTTCAGAATGGCGGTGATGAGACCCGGACAATCAAACAGTATCACTATAAAGCTTGGTCTGATAGAACAGTACCACCCGATGTTGTGTCGTTAATAGAATTCAGAGACAAGGTGGTGAAATCACCAACTAAACATCCTGGACCAATTGTCGTTCACTGTAGGTGAGTAACTAAATGTTGTCGAAATGTTAGTTTTATGTTAAAGAGGTATAAGGGGCTTTGAAGTTCTTTGCCGTGTGTATATTCTTGTTAAGAGTAGCTGTGCATCATTAAGTTTTTATGTCATGGTCTAAAAAGGTTTCTACGAATTAAATAGTTTATTTGTAACCTGACAAGTAATATATCTGTATATCATGTATTATATGTGCTCTTTTATTCTCCTTACTTTGATGGCAGGTGGAATTCCGTGGTGAGCTGCGAAAATGCCGCTATTCGTCAATAATCGGTCAAAGTTCTACTCCCCGACATTGCACACGTGACATATACTTAGCTGATGTATAAGTGCTGGTATTGTATTATATAATGCTGGTATTATATTCTTTATTTTTTATATAGTGCCGATATTATATTTGCATAGTTTTGACTGATATTATATTTTTATTGTTTTGTTTCATTTGTTTATTATTATTATTTAGTGCTGGTATTGGTCGAACTGGGACCTTTATAGCTTTAGATTATTTGATGGAAGAAGGAAAAGTTGAAGATTCTGTTGATGTATTTAACTGTGTATCAAGAATGCGACATGAACGGGTCAACATGGTTCAAACAATGGTGGGTATATAATGTGTTCGGGTGGTATTACCTGCTTGAGATCGGACGTCTTTTGTTTTTGTAGAGATGCCTTCAGTGGCAAAGGTTGAACCATCAGTATAGTTTATAGGAAGATACATATTTTGTACACGGTCAACGACAAATTGACAGCCATCATGCTTATTGCGCATGTTACAGACTTTCCCTTTGAAAAAGACTAGCATATGCCGTATGATGTGCTATGAGGTACCTTTGGCACAGAAAACGGCCTTTCCGTTAAGTCTTCATGGAATTCCAACTGTTAATTGTTCTTTTATCAACGTTTACACGGGACTTTGGTTGACGTACCATCCGAACGACATGAAATTGTTCCTTGTCAGACTATCTTTTCTACATCGCTGACCAGGGGAATCAACACCGGGAAATGCCTTGGAACTTTCTCGGGCAAGATCGAAATAGAATCTAGTACGTCTTGGTTAGTGCGCCAGCAACTTGCTTACTGGACCACTGTGGCTCCCAGATGGTGATTATAGTTAACACGCAGTTCTTGTTAAAAGTCTATACAGTCTTTGAGCGATACAGACGATGATGCTGGTGGGTGTATTATGTATGTCACTTGGCAACCTACTATCGTGTCTTTAATGAGACGTTCCCTGAACCTAATCATTGAACTGAATACAACTAATATGACCTAATAATAATGCATTATATTTCTACAACATACACTATTGTATTTCCATTAATATTTTCTATTTAGCAATTTCATTTTAATTTTATTATTTCATTGCTTGTTTATACCTTAGGATCAATACTGTTTACTTCATGAAGCATTGGCTGAATGGTACTTGATGAATGAGACTGTTATTCCAGTTACATCCTATCAACCAGTCGTTCAAACGCTCCTTAAATCCAACAGACAAACAGGGTTACCACAGCTTCAAAGCTTGTTTCAGGTGTGTTTTACTCCAGAAGTACAATTTTTTTAATTAGCTTGATGTACCATTTCTCGATAATGAAAATCACAATTGATTTAAAATGGAACAAATCTATATGACTACTTAGCAAATTATAAACTAAAATTTGTTAGTTTTGCAGATTTTCCAATTATATAAAGATGCTTTGTGTAAGAGCTAAATCTACTTACTGCAGATTTTTCTTTTGGCCTCAAATGTTATATAAAGAATTTTATTCACATAACACGCCCATAATCAACTCCATTGGCCATCCAATGCTTGTGACATTTAATGGATTGATTCACGATCGCCGTTTAATAATTTAATTTAAAAATGGAAAATCGAAACTAGGCTCACAGTCATATAACTTCTGAAAAAAATCTAGGTACTCTAACAATCCCGTCAAAAGAGGATTCTACATGGAAATGACAATCGAGTTATTTTCAGATTTTTATGGTTTCAAAAATACCTCATAATTCATATCTTCACTCTTAATACCTCATTTTTTTTCTTTTGATTTATTATTATTCAGTCTTTATATGAAGCTGTAGTTTGATCGTATTTAAATAAAGTTATGCATATCTGCGGTCTTAGAGTACCCCTTGTTGACGACAATTTTTTTCGTGCAACGAGAGTTAAGAACAGATCGTTCCAAACGTTCTGACGGTGTATACATTGGTCTATGTCTTATCCTAATAGTTTTAATATGTTTTAAATATTACAGAAGATAAAATATGCTTGTCCAAAACAAGATAAAAGTGACTTTTTTGCAGCACTTTCCGAAGAAAACAAAAATAAAAACCGGGATTCGACAATATTGGCCTGTTAGTACATTTTTATTTTCAAATTCTATCTATCTACTTAGTTTATAAAAGTCTGGTGTCCGGAACTAGTCCACTAATGCTAATTGACAATACTTGGTGTTGACTGAAGTTAGCAACTTTACAGAAATCCAAATAAAGCGTAACAGAGGTAACTGCCTCGTGAATGCATATGGTCATTTCTCCTGGGGTGGAGGGCAGCTACAGAGTAGATAATATTTAGAATTATTGTATGTTTCTGCCAACAAGAAAAGTATGCTCGTCCCTTTTGATAAATGATTATTACATTCTATTTTAACCTTTTTGATCAACTGTCTTGTTTCTAATTTAATTATAGCTGATAAATATCGAGCATATCTGATAACAGAAGTTGATGGTTCTAATGATTATATTAATGCTGTTCATCTTCCTGTAAGTATTTATACTTAAAACAGTTATTTTCTTATGTGGTTTTATATGGTTAATATTCTTAGTAATTCGTGTCACGGATTCATATCTGCACAAAAACTAACGGCTATTATATTAATCTACTTGTGTTTTAGAGTTACACACGAAAGGGTGGTTTTATATTAACACAGACACCATTACGTAACACAGTGACGGATTACTGGATGCTTGTGGCTGATGCCGGTGTTCAAGTTATTGTTGATTTTGATCCAGTAGTTACCGGCATAAAGGTAAGGAACTAAACATCTAGAAAAGAGGAATTTGATATCGATTCCACTTATTGCAAATATTTCAAATCACATAAAGACAAGAAATAAAATTAATTTTATACGACTTGATCACCATATTATAGAAATCATCCTTGTCTTAAATCACAATTTGATACCAAACTGTCACTTTGTTAAGGAAATCACCTTTTCCCTACGACACAATTTAATAGGAAACTATCACTTTGTTATTGAAATCATCTTTGTTGTTTTCCCTTGCAGTTCAAACTAACCTCTTCTGACGCTGACAGCCCAATTGACGAGGCACCAGGATTCTTGATTTGGATAGACAACGATAAACAACTCCATGAAAACCAAATTTCAGTCCTACGTTACCATTTTATCCGAAACTACACATTGTTGTCCTAAGTCACAATTTTAAGCTATAACAGCTGTTTGCTTTGGATAATGTCCGGCTTGCTATTTTATTTAAGTAGTATTTTTAAATTGTATTTCAGGATTCTAATCCGTACTTCCCAAGTATTTCAACAACACAACGGTTTGGCCCTCTCCTTGTAACGTGTACTGAAGAAGATGTTCATATAGAGACTGGTCATTATACAATAAATAAATATAATATTAAACAAGCCACTAATGTAAGTTGATGTAAATGATATTCAACAAATCACATTAAACGTACCAATGGTGTAAATTCTATAACAATATAAAATGCACCACTGATGTAAGTTCTATAGAAATGAAATGGGGCGTAATGTCCCACTGTTCTTCACCGACTGGGCTAATGAAGGCGGGATTATATATAACCATATTAAACGCACCATAGTGTAAATTCTATAATAATATTAAAATACTAGTGGTGTGAGTTCTATAATAATATTAAACGCACCACTGCTGTAAGGTAAGTTCTATGGTAATATTACGCATATCACAACACAATGACATGATAGATATTTACATAAGATTGGTTAATTTAATTTCAGGATGAATTTAACCTGGATGTAAAGTTATACAAGTGTAATTTCTGGAAAGACGACACAACTGTTCCCGTATCCCCCGCGCCAATATTCATGGTTTTGAAAGATATTCGCAACTCTTACATGGACTTATATGATGATCCAATCCTTGTACAGTGCATGTAAGTAGATTTCCGATTTACGCTATGGATCATATGTCTGTAAATCAAATCCTTTTAGGTTGCCTGACCAATAAACACCCTCTCTGCTATCGGGTCAAAACAGATGTACGTTTTTGTTTTGTGCCAATAGTATTTGTTACGTGTTAATGTGCATATTTTTCACAGTGTATTAGTATCCAGAAGAGGCTACAACAGAATTAATCTCGGTCACACAGAACCTCCTAGGCTTCAACGTACGGAGCGTCTGGGACCGTTGTCAGTACTTGACAAAAAGTTTCATTGCCCATGTGTAACCGGGAGGTTTTATTATGTGATTGATTATCCAGTCAAGTAGGAGTCGTGTCCCTTCCTGCAATAAATCCCACAATTCTTCCATTATTATAAACAAACATGAATCGTGACGACGAATTAGGGTTAATTTTAAAAAAACAACCATAGATATGGCCCATGAAGAGTGAAATTTTACAATAAAAACATTAAAAGTGTTGGATATTGAACTGGTAATGCAATCAAATGGATTTTCTGGAATGGATTAGACTAGCTTTATGATAATGTGAAAGGCCGGATAATCTAGTAAACGACCTATCCAAACTAACAGTCGTAGAATATTTTTCTGGGTGATAGAGACTACAACAGAATGCAATCATCGAGAGTCCACGGTGACTCTATGAGTAAGACGCTGGAACAAAGGTCATGGATTCGATCACGATATTTACCAAAATATTTCCTTGAGATCTTCTTGTCTGGCTTCCCCAAATCATTGGTGAAGGGTGGAGGGTCTGGCATGAAATATCGTCAACTCGTTCGAGTGGGACGAAACACGGAGGTCCCGTGTATACGTTGGCATGCACGTAAAAGTTGAAATTCGGTGAAGAGTGGACGGGAACGTCGCTGTCTTGGAAAATGTTCCTTGTGGCACACCATGCTTAGTTAGCAGAAAAGTTTGGCGTTAAAACCCCATTAATTTGTTAGCAATCCATAATGTAAAATGAAATTCCAAAATCATTCTTTGCAGAAATGGCGTCGATAAAAGTGGCTTATTTTGTGTTTTGGCGGGAACTATTGAAAGGCTTTTTACAGAAGAGAATGTGAATATAGTTCATGTTATTCAACAGTTGAGACGATCACGACCACAAGTTATTACATGTTATGTAAGTATATGAGAGTTATCTTTCTTCTTATCAAAAAGTGTTAAACGTTTTGTTAGCACTTGAGAGGGGTTGGTAATATGGTACGATATTACATGCATGTTACCATTCGTCACTACGTGTGCGGTCGGGTATATATCTAGAAATTGTTGTTCTTATCTATTGTTGGCATGTAGGTGAGCTGTAATTTTTATTTTATGTTTTAGGAACAGTTCCGGTTTTGCTATGAAGCCATCGCAGAATATTTGTATGATAGGTCAGGTTACGTGAAGTCTTGCTGAAAGGGGGATAACCACAGTGTTTGTTTGCAATGTTTTACCAATAGTTTATATTGCTATTCTTCTGGTTTTGCAACAATGAAGACATTTATTTTGTAGAAACTGTTATAATTAAGTCATCGCCCTTTTTAGATTTTGTTTTGGTTGTTCTGCTTTTATTCATTTCTTACATATAATGGGAGGTTTACTTTTGCTTTTTTGTTTTTAATATGAACACATTTTTAAAATTTTAAAATTTGCGATGGTTTTAGTATAATATTATAGCTAAAGCAATGATTTTTATTAATTACTCAAAGCAGTGATTTTTTTTGTTTTACTCAGAGCAATGGTTTTCATTAAATAAGATAACGGAATGAATTTTTGTTAAATTACTAAACCAATGATGATTTGATTATTTGACCAATATATTTTTGTGATTGTTTTATTTAGTTTGAAATACACATAGCTGCATTGTATTTTGAATGGGTTCGTCGTTGCTATAGGAAGTGACCAATAGGTGTTGATTTTTTTAGCCATGTGTTATTCACGTGCACCGCTGCACCGTGTAATTTCAGTCAAATACACCATGACAGGTGAACTTCTCCAAGCTATATTACTCAATATACAGGGAATCTTTTCAAACATCTTTCAGGCGTTCCGGTAGATCAAACAATGTGGTGGGGAAGTGATATGTTTACAGTCATCCTCGTTCTCCCCAGTGGCCTCATTCCGTTCTACACCACTAACCTCTGGGTTAATCTATGGAGGGGACACGTTTTCAAGTCATCCGCTATTTTTATCGACCAATCCCATAAATCGTTAATTGAAAAGGAAGTTGGCAAAGGGAAGTAATTCTCATCGGGTAAAGTAAGCCAAAGCTCCCCTTCAAAAGACAAGGTTAGGAATTAGCCAGAAGGTAGTCCAAGTTATACTAAATGCATATTATTAACAACAAATTACAGTTATTTTATAATATAATATATTCTTCAAAAAAAAAAACGCATAGTGACATTTCGTCGTCGGCATACCCTCGCTCTACCATCGCCTCGTTGCAACAGGAACCGCGACTCGTCGCTGAACCAAACTGTTCTCCAGCGTTGCTGTGGCCATACACTGTGTGTCTGAACCCATTGAAGTCGGATTTGACGGTGTCGGCGTATTTCAAAACGGCGTATTTCGTAATCCGGTTTCGCGTTGGCGTCTATGGACTGTCTAGTCTGAGATTCTATGCCGTCCAGGAATTGCTGTTGCAGTAGAGGTCGCTGTTGTGAACCGTTTCCCCAAATGAAGTGTGTTTCTTTTCTCTTTTTTTTTTTGAAGAGTATATTAATGAATACCGGACAGGTGTTTATATATGTAGGTTCAGGAGTGTTATTGTGAATGTGTTAGTTGTATTTTACGTCCGCTTCCACCGAGGTGATATCGCAGACAAGTTTATTGAGAATCAAATTGCCAGGTATAATACGTTCAATAATAATAAACATAACAGAATGAAATATTTCAGACATATAGATGTTATACATATTGAAATCAGCGAAACATACTACAGATTTTGATCATACAATTAAATATAAATAAATTAGAAATATATACATTATTTACATAAATCATTGAGTAAATGGACATGAATATGGTTATCTACCCTTATAAAAACGAAGGCGAAACGATTTGTTTGTAAACTGTTTTCTGATTAGTTCGTAGACTGTAGCTAAAATCTAGGCCAGGCAGATAATCTGAAATCGTGGAAATCCTATGGATTAATCCAGGGTATATTGGAGTAGAACGGAATGAGTACCCTGGGGATACTGAGTATGGTTTACAGTAGGTTTTTTTATTGGTTGGAGGAACAGCAAATGTGAAGAATGCCATATAAAGTATTGTAGTAGATATTTAATACATTCCGCTTATTATTTGGTTTCTTTTTTATTATTATAATGTACTTGTATTATTGTTGAATTGGTCTCTGCTTAATTTGAGAAAAAAATACGTGTCATAAAAGTTATGTGTTTATCTATTCTTTCTGGGGGTTGTTTTGTGTTTTGGTTTAGGTTTTGCGGGAAATAAAATGAAATAGGGTTAAACGTAATACTTGATCTCTTTTTTGACTATGCTGTTCCTTAAACATACAAAAGGACCTAACAGTCAATAATAATTTATCTATATTGCCATAATATTGTATCTTTAACATAAATGTAAGAACAGGTGCAAGGGATGTGTCTTCGTAAACGATTTGGTTACGGCTTGTCTGTCAAATGTCTCCCAATATTGGAACATCTCATTTTGTCAGCGGAAAATATTTCCTGAGATGGATAGACGTTAGACTCTATGTTAATTAATGTATGTTTCAGAAAAAAAACACTGGCCTGTAACATGTTGTAGAAATAAGTAAGGTCGCTGATAAGAACTCAAAAATGGGTATTGACGTAAGAATGTAATGGAAAAGAACTTTTGGGGCATATAAAATACGTGTGTAAAGTATTCTGCCCATCATTGAAGTCTTTTCCTAAATATTTGTGCAAGATTGGGGCCGAGCATTTGACAACCTAATTAACCCCTGCTGTGTTTTTCACGTGCACCGCGTAATTTCAGTCAAATACACAGAGTCGTAGCCGTGAAATGTATATTGGGGGGGGGGGGTCTGCAACCCTAACCCCTAACCCTAACCCAAACCCATTTTTTAAAACCCCTAAAAATAGAAACAAACACCATTTGGCCATGCTGTCTACGAAGACACCGCGTGCAAAAGCATTATGGTTACGTTGCTGGCTGAGCGGGCGATAAATATTTGGTTTAGGTGGTTATGTTTTTGGGTACCTACATGCGATTCACTAGGGGGCGTTCTGAAGCCAGAAGCCAGGGTATTTTTTTGTTCTAAAGGGCACTTTTCAAGTTTGCCATAGCGACGTAAACATATGTAGCAAAGATTAATTTTGTCCGCAAAAATTTGAATTAACCCGACTTTTTCCGCGATTTCGGGGGCGTACAGCCCCTAACCCAAGAGGATGTGCAACTTAAGAATTCCCATTCTGGTCATCGGCCATGATGGTGCCTCCGTTAGGCATAGTGCCAATTTTGTCCGCGTATTTAGGAACAACGGTCAGCTAGCTTCCCTACTAAAAGTCATCCCTCCTGTTGGCACTATAGGGGTTTGAACTGGTGCAATTCTAAATGACAAAACAGTCCTGATTAAAAGTTCTGAATCAGAAAAAAGTCAATCCGTTATAATCTACTTTATGGAACGTCTACGTGGCCTGCATGGATATTTTTATCTTATCAACATTGCCAATATTTGTCGTAAACCCAGAAAGGAAACGCACGTGTAATGTTGAAGAGTCGCGAATTTCAAATAAAAATTAGCATATTTCTGTGAATATTGTGTTTGACCTGCAGCCGAGTAGTTGCACACCTGCCTAACTCGACAAATCGGCCCCGTTTGTCGCGAAGCAGGAGCGCCATCACGTAGTGATCTCTAAAACTATTATGGCCACTTCCGCCTTCATTTCTATCGGGTTTGGAGCTCAAAAGTACGGCAATAAACTCGCTCTAACTTGACTGAATGAAAAATCTAACATACCTTTCGACTTTGTGGAATAACAATCTATAATTCTACTGATCTTTTTTTTGAAAATCTTATCGGATTCCTGAGAACAGATGTAGGCCTATTTTCTTCATGATCACCATCAAAACATTGAAGAATCCATTATGTCGTAAATTTTATGTTAATTAGATTGCCATTACTTAGATTTTCCTTTTTCTCACTGTTTTATTGTCGATTTGGGATGATACGAATATTTGGTATATATTAAAGACGTCTCTATTCATTTGACCTCATTTGACATTTAAACCTATATAATGTACATGAATTTTAGGTACTATTTTTTTGCGGATGAATACAGCTGTTCTGTAATGCTTAATATTGATCTGTAACATTAAGAGTTAAGTGGATTTATCTCCCTTTCATGATTAATAATAATGTTCTCATGAGCCGTTTTTTTTTTTCGGCATGAAGCCTTAGTGCATAAGGTACTTATATGTGTATCTCCCCTGTTGGGAGCTATGCATACTATTATATTTTCTTACTTGACTGTCATTTGGGTTTTCTCTCTTTGTTTGCTCTGTACCATGTCCCCTGTGGACCCTTGATTGGAAATAAAGCTAGTATTATTATTATTTATTATTATTGTATTCTGTTGTAGACTGTGAAAATTTTGGATCCATGTGTCGACGCTTTAAATCACATGGATCCATTAAACCTTCTAACTGTTTAATTCCATTTTTTTCATTGAAGATTCTTATATTACAAATCTTTCCTTACACTAGAAACGTAATCACTGGATCCCCCCTTTTAAACTCCTGCAATTACTTTAACTCCTGAACGTGATTATATGTCTAATAGATGTCTATTTATTTCATTATATCGCTTGGGCATGGGTCTTTAGGGGTGATGAAAAGCCGTGATGTTAGACAGGAGGGTGGTGGGGGGCTAATCCTTGTCACTGGCATACCTAACATCGTGCCAATAAACCGCGTATTCAACAGGCTTTATGATCTACTCATTAAAAACTGTCTTAGGTTTTTTCTCACGTGACCATGACGTCAGGCTATGACAAGGAAGAATGGGCATTTGCATACTTGGCTCTGTGTTTCTTGTGTATTGATATTCTATGGATACTACGACAATTCACAATTTTTTATTTTTAAAATCTGTAGTGTAGATATTCGGCAAAGGTAATCATTTTTGTTTTCATTTGCCAGGTTCCAAGGTGACGAATAGTGATATAAAGTGGCTACATAATATATACTCATCCAATTGCTCCAATTCTGACGTTACTACCAAGCAGCGCAAGACATCCTCTCCCCCCCCCCCCCCCCCGTCATTATTTTATTTTTTTGTCTATATACCATGAAGATGAAATATACATAGTTGTATTGCTCTGTATCATAGAATAACAATTATAACAGTAAATTTGACTATGTGATAACTGTAACGGTCATATAAACCAGTTTAATCTATTACAACTTTAAACCGTATCCATAATAAACTATTAATAATAACAAACATATAATTTGGTAACTGTATACGAAATACAATGCATTTTGCTCATGGGTTGGTTTAAACAATTAGACTGCCTTTGTCGTCTTATGTTTAATGTGTATCCGATATCCTTGGCGTTGTTTAAGCCGATAACCATTTGTCTCTATAAATACATTTTACGTAATCGCTCAACCTAACGTAGATTATGTGCATAAGGTCTCTTAACGCCTTCCATTTATACTAGTAATTGATAAATAATATGATGAACACAGTGGGTTCATTTTGTCCATTTGGCAAAACGGTTAAATGTAAAAAAAATCGCCTTTTTGGTCGCGATTAATAATAATAATAAAATCCATCCAAAATCATACTCAAAGCGCAATGAGACAATAGTTATATACACAGTGAACAGAAAGTCAAATTCTCATAGCTGTGATTTGAAGTTTAAGTGTTTCGGATTTTAGTGGTAAATCATTCCACAATTTAGAAGCAACTACACTAAAACTTCTGTCACCAAAATGTTTCAGATTCACGCTGGGAAATCTGAAACAAGGTTCTTGGTAAAATAAAAATAATTGAAACTCAGTGATGATGTTTATTTGGGCGTAATGAAGAACTTTATCGAATTTCAGTTCAGTTCCGAATTTCCCCGTCACATTTTGACTTCCAAAAACTGTGAACACGATACAGGACAAAGTTTTCGATGGGATATTTTAAAAGTTGGTGTGACTAGGGCATTAAAGGTTCGCGCGAATTTTTTCAAAAGATTTAAGGCTATAAAAAAATAATAACTAGGGAGGACGATCTCGTATGACGTTGTAAACCGGTTCATCGATGTATATATTGCGTGGATGATATTTTGACAATTTGAAAGAAATGGGGTTTAACGTACTACTGGGGTCATGAAAACGGACATGCACCATACCGTGTGTTATAGGGAAATTTTGCCCGAACAGCGGCACTACATCCTGCTCTTATATCGAATTAAAACTATCAAATGTTCTGTATGTACACGCCAATACGTACGTGGGACCACATTCTGACCTGCACTACTGACAAGGGGGGGGGGGACAACGCCGAAAACCCCGATGAACACCTGGATCGAACAGGGTACCTCGCAGTTAGCAAACACGGTACCTTCCCCTTAGCGAGCCAACGTCTTTCCCACCGATCCACCACGGCTCCCAATTTGAAAGAAAGGGACACCTTTTTAATCCATAATGTTTATATTTCATGAAGCTAGAAGAGAGAAATCGCGTCTTCATCCGATAAATCTAAGATGTCTTCTAAAGATTCACAGAGATTACAACGTCATTATGAATACTTTCTAGAAAATGTGTTCAATCCTGATGGCCTGATCGACTACTTATTTGCCAAAGACGTTCTTAATCTTGATACACAAACTCGCATACTTGACTCAGCGCGTGGACAGCCGAGGGTAAAACAACTTCTGCACATCCTGATGACAGAATGTGGTGATTGTTATCAGATATTCCTACAGGCTTTAAGAGAAAAGGGTTTTGGAAAAATTGCCGATAAATTAGGTAAGAAACATAATTTTTAACTATCGTGGCATAAATCATATTGGAATATTTCGCTGTCGGCTGTCGTCATTGAAACATGCATTAGACGACAAGTCCTTGTAAATAAAAGTAGGAATTGGTATAATACTATGGTATCTGCGACCATACTAATATTGTATCTTTAACTAATTATTGGATCCACAGATTGTAGAGAAGTCATATATCACGCACTCAAATTGACTGAGTGAAGGTTGATATATAAAAACAGTGATAATTTGGTAAAACACTGGTTATGGCCTTTCCATTGTCAAAATATCCATCAAATTCTATCTTGTTTATGAAATTTGTTTTGAAGACCAAAAAAGGTAATGTTCTCCTCTCATTCTTCGCGGTATGTGGAATGTTTATTCCATATTTGGGAAGGAAATTAACAC